AAACCATTGGGTGCTGAGGTGCATGAGCAGTTGTCCCGATCAGGTGGTCAGTCTGAAATACAAAGGCACTATGACAGTTATATAAACATCGCATTATAAAGAAAAATAAGGGCTATTGGTAACGGACCTTGTAATTTTGAGGCGCGGTCAAGTTATAAGGTCGACACCTGCGCTGGCACCCACCTCTCCAAACTATCACACAATTCCAATGGGAGGACTTTGAGATCAATAGATTTAACATGCATCTGCCCCCTCTACACGCAAGGTCTTTAGTGACACCAGGACTGGAACCTGTGATACACCGGCCACGAGTTCGGGTCCATAACTAACTAGGCTACCTCGGTCACATATAAAAGGGAAAAAATGATGAACACAAACAGGAAAATAAGCACAAATACGTTATTCAAATTATCATAGATAAATCCGGTTGATTTTATAGAGTGTTTTGCTGTCTGGAAAAATTTTCTGAATCTCGCTTAACTTTTTACATTATTATACCCAAGGGATTCTCACTTTTTATTCAGGATAAAAGCGTTCTATTCAGGGCCGATCCCAAGGTGTCGGCCACCCGTGTGCCAAAGCCTAATGTGCCACCCCTCAAAAGATTTTTTCATATTTTGACTAATAATTAACGTTGACATTATATACTCATCTACCTGTATAAGAGTAAAAAGTAAATCATTAATAAAAATGCAAATAAACACAAAAATATCTTTTGTCCTCTATTTTATTTCTCTAAATTGTAAAGCTATTATCAAATAGAAAACTTTAATGCATATTGCATTTAAACACTCCTATGTTTTAGGTAATATTAACCATATTTGATACTTCCGAAAAGCAACTTTCGCAAAAATCATTTTTGAGACGCCTTTGTTCAGCATCGATTCACAGTGCGCCGCTGATAAGCAAGAAAACCTTTCTATTGCGGTAATGCCAAATCTGCTTTGAATTTGGCCATCAAATGAAGGATGCGTGTAAAGAGTAGATTTTCGTGTACAATGTGAATTAACACACTGTGCACTAACATTCTATTTTTCTTACGCTATGCTATGCTATGCTATCAGAAATCGTGACATTTATGATTTTCAATAACTATTTAAAAAATTCGGCATATTTATTCAACTTATTATAAGCTTTATTTTGAGATTTTGGTAAAAAAATTTGCTTGAATCATATAAATGTGGCCGGTGTCCGACCCTTGTTTGGACCGCCCGCGTTCGGTGCACACCTGCCAGGATCGGCCCTGGTTCTATTCCTTATCATAGGATGCGAGAGCCGTAAAACTAGCAAAAAAAGTCAGTAATAACATAATATGAAGAATTGGGACAAGGACAACATAATCCCATCTTTGTAAGAACTAATTAAAAGACAGATACATAAAACAGCAAGTTTAGAACAGAAATATAGAAAACAATTTTTAAAACTGCCACAGAGACTGATTTAAGGTTCAAGTCCGTTCTTATTAATGATGCGATAAAACACACCGAGGAAGATTTTAATTTTTATTAAGAAATTGAATTAATTCCAGATGACTTAAAAAGCTTTATATAAACTGTTTTTCAATATGTGGTACGCGTATCAATTATAATACAGGGCGGGGTGCAGAAACTTCCTTTTTTGAACATGTTTCAGTGATGTTCGTAGGGAGGGGACGGGTTCGGTGGAAGTGGGTGGGGGTGGAGTGGTATATTTGTGTTTCTGCCCGTCTCAGCCTCAAACATGTTGTGATCGAGACAATAGGGCACTTTTGCCGTAGAAGTGTATTTCTCAAACCGTCGGTCGGTGGTTGCAGTGCAAAGTGCCTTTCGTCATCACTTCGATATTCCTCTGTGAAATCGTGTGTCGTGTTCTTCCTGATCGGAAATGTGTTTTAATGTGGATGCATGCCTTCCGAGCAACGGAGAATGTCTCCAAAGAAAGGAAAGGACATCTAAAGACCGTTAGAACACCTGAAAACATGGAACGAGTCAATTCAGACCGGTATGTGACAATGATCCAATACTTCTTCTTGTGCCCGCTCTTCAAGAAAGGGAAATTGATAACATACAGTTATAAGAAGATGGGGCCTTAGCCCCATACATCAAGCGCATAAATGGATAGTTTTCATGATATTTAGAGTCACTTAGATTAGAATATATGCATAAAATTGTTTTAAGGACATTTTGTCAAAAAAAATTTATTGAAATGTAATATTTTGGCAAAAAAATTAACTTAGAATCATCTTTTTTCCAGATGTTCTCCTTTTGTGAAAAATGCTTCTATTATAATAATATTTTACCTGTATATAGCTCAGACCTCTCTACGGAGGCTCAACTAGATTTTTTGAAATATATAACTTAGAAATGGGTTTATTCATATTTTACGACAACAGAGGGGAGCAATTTTAAGAAAAAAACGCCAATAATTATTTCAATTGGTGGTAACTCTGAAAATAATGTGAATTTTTCAAAAATTCTAGTTGAACCTCTGTAGAGAGGTCTGAGCTATATATATGCAAAATATTATTATAATAAAAGCATTTTTCACAAAAGGAGAACATTTGGAAAAAAGATTATTCTAAGTTAGTTTTTTGCCAAAACATTACATTTAAATAAATTTTTTTTGTCAAAATCTCCTTAAAACAATTTTATGCATGTATTCTAATCTGAGTGACACTAAATATCATGAAAATTATCCATTTATGCGCTTTGTAAAATCACAGTTCCGAACGTAGTCGGATACCTTAAGAGCAGCTTCCCCCGATGACTGATCTCCCTGAGAGAGGACGTAAACTGGCTTGTGTGCTCACCTTATTTATCCCCTCCTGATTACTTCATATGGCTTATTTCAAGTCCTTGGCTTACAAAGACCGCCCCGAGACCCTTGAAGCTTTATGGATCAACATCCGAGCCGAACTTGACAATATCCCTGTGGATATGTTTGAAAAGGTGGCTCAAAGTTTTCAAAATCGACTGCCTCAATGAATTAATAATGGAGGGCGACATTTAACAGGCATTGTGTTTAAAACTGTGTAAATTTAGAAATCCAATGTTGAGTAGTTGGCGAAAAATGGCAATTAAGTTTTATGAAACATGTGGTGCATTTTATTACATTTTCAAAAAAGAAGTTCCCAATTCAATTTTGCCGAGAGCACCCAAGCAAACAGGCACTCAAGGAATCTTTTACATGCCGCATAATCATACGACATGACCACTGTCGATTTTCTGCATCATGAAAATCCTACGACTTGGGCCGGAGTTGAACCCGCAACCTTTGTGCAGAAGGTGCAATATTGATTCCAATTTCAGGTAATAAAGCTAACAGTTTAGGAAATTACGTTTTAATGGTCCACTGTCCCCTTAAGGAACATGCGAGTGAATCAGAAAAAAATGTACTAATAAGGAAAATAACTCTATGTTTATATTTATTGACGAATTCTACTTTGGAAATAAGTCGAATTTTAATTTTGCACCTAAAGAGTGCGTTGACAAAAAGAATTTCAGAGTCATTGGTGGTTTTCTTAATCGCGTTAAATAGCAAACATATTTTAATAATTAAGTGCAAAAAAACAATGAACTGAAGGTGAGTGGAATATATACAAGTAATAAAATACGAAAAAAAAAGCAAACTAACTTAAAAATTTTTGCTTAATTTTATTAGTTGCAAATACATATATGTATTTTTACCTCATAAAATTAAACAAATTTTTTAAGTTTATTATTTATTTATTTAGTTTTCCATATTTTATTTGCTGGTATAAACAGGGTGTCCGGGCTTAAAGTATCCAAAAGTAATGGCTCATAATGACGGAACTACCCGTTAGAATGTAACAAACTGTTCATCCGTGGATTGGAAAACCCTCCGAGCTTTTTTGGATTTAGTCCGATGGGCCAGAGGTGCGTGCTTTATCCGGCAATCGCAGACGATAAAATTTTTGCACTGACTTCATTAGTAAAGATGTGGATGCCACAGTAAAAGGCGCAGTGCGTACTTTGATTAACGGAATTTAAACCAGTCACGCGTGTTCAGGAACGTATTCGAACATAATGGAATGTGGATCCTCCGACATTAAAACTTATCTACCAACGGGAAAGAACTTTAAAGGAGACGGGGACTTTGGTATCTCAAACTGGCAAGTACCCTCAAGTTTTCGTGATAGAAGACACTGTTGATCGTGTGCGTGATTCATCTTGTAGGAGTCCTGATAAGTCTATTAGGCAAGTCAGTAACGACATTCCATTCCGTTCGAACATGTCGCTGTACCTTTTCCTGCGTCATCAACATCTTTATTAATGAAAATAACGTAAAGCGTTTACTGTCTGCGATTGCCGAATAATGCACGCATGTGCGGCCGATCGGACCAGACCCAAAAATATCGGAGGGGTTTCCAATCCATGGATGAACAGCTTATTACACACGGATGGGTAGTTTCGTAATTCGTCATTACTTTTAGATACTTTTAGCCGGGACACCCTTTACATATATGTTGTTTTATCTCATAAAATTAATCAAATTTTTTAAGTTTGTTACTTATTATTACTTTTTTTTGCATACTTTATTTGCTAGTATATATTTCATCTAATGACTGCTATATGTGCGTGTTAATAAAACAACATTTTTAAATAATGAAGTTATTGGGATGTTCCAAAATTTAATAAACTGTTTTTCATTGAAGTAGTAATACTTTTACATTATTGTACAAAACAGGTTTTAATCTTCATGCAAATAATCTACCATGATGCTATTAATAATATAATCTCTACAATAAAACAGGTCAACAAAGAAAAATTTTATTTCAGTTATTTTTTATTAAATAGTTACAATTAATATAATAATGTATATACAAATGACATAATCTCAATATTAAGTGACAAATTAGAAATCAATTTTCCATTTTCCTTTCTATATATAGTGTTGGACTATTTTTTGTTTTTGTTTATTACTGTTTATTCACTAATTAAATTTAATTATTTTAATAAAATAGTATTGTAAAAAAGAAATCACATTCTCAGAAATTAGGCCATCACAGATGGGATTCAAACCCACGATCTTTGGATTAGAAGTCCAAATCGCTATCCACTGCGCTACAGGGACACAATGAGCGACTTTTCTTTCTATATATGTTGTTGGACTATTATTTTTGTTTGTTACTATTAATTCATTTTTTAAAAAAATTTAATTAATGAATTAATATTTGAAAAAACTGTATGAACATCAAATGTCATCCACTACAGGTTTTAAAAAAATGTATTTGAACTTGAATGGAGGAATAGAAAGTATTTTATTAACGATTGAAAATTTGAACAAGATATATATATATAGGGAGAGAGTGAACTAATAGTAGGAATTGAAAAAGGAAACTCTGATTCACAAAAAGATCGTGAACATGTTGTATCAAAGCAAATTCTAGTATCAATTATAAATAATTATTTGATAACTGAGAAGATAAAACAAACAAACAAACAAAAATCTCAATAAAAATTTATTGTACAATAATATAAGGAATTTTAAATTTTTCCGTCACATACATAATTAAAAGTTGTAAGTCATTGCAACGTTAACATTTCACATAAATTCAACCTCATTAACTTGGTTCAACCTTTTTAAAATTAAATTCAACCTTTTGTATATTAAATACAATCTTTTTTGTAAATCAAATTTAACTTTTGCAAGTTAAATTATTCCTTTTGATAAATAACTTATTCCTTTGGTAAATGGAATACAATATTTTGCCGAGAAATTCCTTTTACAGAATCTAATTCAATCTCGCCAATCAGATTCATCATCTGGCAAAACTAATTTCTATATTTTGGAAAACAATTTTTTTGTCTTTTTTACAAAACAAATTTTTAACTTTTGTAAAACAAATGAATTCTATCGAGTGGTATATTTAACTTCTCATTATGAGCCAAAACTATTTTTTTTTTTGTTAACCATTACAAATCTCTTTCTCATCAAATTAAATTTTTTTTGCTCATAAATTTCATCCTTTTGTTCGCAAAATCCAGCCTTTTGCAAGTAATTATAACAGTTAATCACAGTAAGTAATTATTACGGTTATATTCACGAATTTATTCATTTCTTTCAAACTATGCTTTGAATTTAATCATAAAATTTGGAATATTAAACTTTTTCCCCCTTAGTACATTCATATAGTATTCGAGTGATTCTTTACGTCTCCCAGCCCTCCCACTCTTCCTCAAAGAAAGGATTAATTACAAAAACATATATAAATTAACTTTTAGATTGCTTAAAATTTGAATATTTCAATGCAAACAAAGAATTTATAGCAAAAAATAATAATCTTAATTTTTTAACCAAAGAGAGAGAGAGAGAGAGAGAGACAATCTTTTTAGAATTTTTAAAATATTTTATGAAGTTGAGAAAAAAAACTTCTTTTTTAAAACTTCAACTTGGATGATAGTTTTTCAATTAACGTGTTTAAGAAACTTAATTTTTTAAATTTTGAATTAAAGTTTAAAACTGTTTTCTTATTAATACAGGGCTTCTCAAACTTTCAACATATGCAACCCAATTTTCAATAATAATTTTCTTCGTAGCTACTGCAAATAATAACAATATATTGAATGCAATAATAATGTATTTTGATGCTAAAGCTACAATATGACCAATTATAAACTGCACAAATTATCAAGATAAGTATTACATTCTTTATGTAGTTTTGTGTATGACACGTGGGAGTCACTAGTAAACTTGATCTTAACTTAGTATTGATAAATTTATTATCAAATACATTGGGCAGTACTGATACATTTGTAAAAAAAAAAGTGCTCGTATATTATAAGTGTAAATGTGTTTTTTTATTATGTCAGAATACATTTTGTTTTGCTACCTTTCAGTAAAGTAGCGATTCTCAAACTGTAAGGCGTGATAACCCTACTTGAAGGGCGCGATCATTTCAAAAAGTCAAAAAAAAAAAAAAAAAAATGAATAAAATAAAAGGTTTTTTTAAAAAATTATTTTTTTAAATATCTATTATATAGGGTGTTTTTTTAGAGGTATAGAACTTTAAATTGCAATAAAACAACGATGTATTATTCGATTGACATGAATTTTTTTTATTCGAAAGATAATCTAATCTTGTGGCATTACATTTTAAACATGATCAAGCAAGGCGTAGATTCGTCGAATGGGCCCAAAACGAGATTGCCGTTGCTCCCGATTTTCATAAGCGAATTTTGTTTAGCGATGAAGCGCACTTCTGGTTGAATGGCTACGTCATCAAACAAAACTGCCGCATTTGAGTGAAGCTAATCCACAAGTGTATGTCGAAATACCGTTACATCCAGAAAAACTGACTGCTTGGTGCGCTTTATGGGCTGGTGGAATCATTCTTCAAAAACGATGAAGGCCACAACGTTACTGTCAATGGTGATCGGTATAGAGTAATGATTACTAACTTTTTCATTCCTGAATTGAACAATCATGATGTCCAGGAGCTGTGGTTCCAACAAGACGGCGCAGCATGTCACACAGCTCGTGCCACAATCGATTTATTGAAAGACACGTTTGGTGACCGCCTAATTCCACGTTTTGGACCTGTGAATTGGCCTCCAAGATCTTGTGATTTAACACCGCTAGACTATTTTCTGTGGGGCTATGTAAAGTCATTGGTCTATGCGGATAAGCCACAAACGCTTGACCATTTGGAAGACAACATTCGCCGTGTTATTGCCGATATACGGCCACAAATGTTGGAAAAAGTCATCGAAAATTGGACGTCCAGACTGGACTACATCCGAGCCATCCGTGGCAGTCCTATGCCAGAAATCATATTTAAAATGTAATGCCACAAGATTATCTTTCGAATAAAAAAAATCATGTCAGTCGAATAATACATCGTTGTTTTATTGCAATTTAAAGTTCTATACCTCTAAAAAAACACCCTATATAAAAGTAACAAATACACACAAATTTTATACTTATATTAATAATGAAAACGATGAATAATTAAGATCGTATTGTAACTTTAGCGTAAAATTACATTATCAATGCAATCAATACATTATTATACGGGGGGTGATGAAAATTATGATTGAAATTCGTCATTTCTCGCTGAGGCAGCAACTCGGTGTGATTTTAACTGTTATACGGCGTGCAATCTCTTTGCCAGAAATACTGATCTTACACCGACAACATGCTTTATACTACTCAGACACTCCCCCATTACGTCTACCTGCATATCTGCGCGTGTGCTACCGTACATCACCTTACTTAATCTTCTGAATGGTCTTTCTGTCCGCTCTGCCTCTTCGTTCAGCTGATATGCTAATTTTTCGACTTCGTCCTTAATTTTTGCACAACAGTGTATAGGTAAACCGGAGATTTTTCTCGAAGATTACAACGACTTATAAAATATATGTTTATTTCTCTTTTCATTTTTTTTGTTCCTTTTTCTGTTTATATTTACTTGTAGATTGTTGTGATTTGTGATATTTATATTAAAATACGCCGCAAACCAAAATTTTTAATCACTAATAATTATAAAATTTAGGAAAGTAATTGCAAAATGTATATATATATATATACACATGTATTAAAGGTTGTATTTGGTAATCAAAATAAGCAAATTATAATGTAAGCAAAATGAAGAATCTGTATCTGCAATTTTGAATAAATTTTGATTATAATTTTTTTTCCAAGTATAAAAGCTAAATAGTAGAAAGTAGAGTTGCAAAGTTTTTATCACAAACAATTTCAGTAATTCTGGTTCCAATTGATGTTTCGCTTGAAAAACTGCGCACAAATTGGAATTCAAAAAGAAACACGCCTTTTTGAGCGACTTTTTACGCGGGAAGCAAATTGGGAAAAATGAACTAATCTGCTGCCATCTATTGAGGATTTCCGAAACGAATTTATCGCATTTTTAAAGAAGCTGAAGAAAGCACAGTGTATCTGTTCTTGAAAATTTAAAAACATATTTTTCTATTCATTGTCTCAGAAGAATACTTTAAATTGAAACTAAAACTTTTAAAAATGCAAGATGATTGGTACGTTACGTCATATACAAAAAAAAAATGTATTGCGCTAAGAATTTTTAAATAATTGTAATAGTTTTTGCATCCCAACCTTGGAACACAGAGGGGAGCTGCCCCCACCCCTTGATTTTTTTTGATTGATTATAATTTTATGTATATAGTACGTAAAATTTAATTAAGTATTTTTATAAAAATTAATATTGCTAATTATTTATTCAATAATTATTTTTTTGTTCCCCAAAATCGGCTTAATGAAAAAAATACGTTGGACGACGTATTGGAGCAGGATACGAGAATGGTGGACTTTCGACCCTACCCCCTAGTGGCGTAACGGAGAAAAGTAGGACCCCCTTCAAATTCAGGTTTTGGGCCCTAAGCCCAAATACGTTCTTAGTATTTGGACCCCCTTAGAGTCGCTGCCCCCTCCTCAATGCGGGGGTGTACGTTACGCCACTGGTGCCCTCTCCCCTTTGAAAAATTCCTGTGTGCACCATTGCATCCTAATAATATATACAGTCGACTCTCGCTAATGCAAACCTTCAATAATACAAGCCTCTCGTTAATTCGAAGTATATGCCCGCGGTCCATAGAAAAACTCTTGATATTTCGAACTAAAACAATACGTTTGGGTACATTCAATATTTTGAAATAAAATCTGTGGCTGGCAAGACTAGAACAAGCGATAATTCAAAGTTAATTTACAAAACTCTCGACAATTCGAACACTCACTACCATGTACAGTCCTGTAGCAAACAGGTTGGAGGTTACAAGTTATGCTGTCTCAGTGTGTTTCTCCTGAAAAAGCTAAGATTGTGGCTTTGGGCCCCAATTACACATAAAGTGATGAAGACGAATCGGAGGAGTTGACTCCGATAATTCTGACAGAAACTAAAGTGTCACTAAAGTAAGCACATTTTTCTTTCAAAATCACGTTGACGCGGACGTTTTTCAAGCTTCATTTATTCTAGAAAAATCTATTTACAAAGTTAGATTGAATGCCATAAAGCAAAAAAAGATAAGTTTTTCTTCAAAAAAGATTAATCATGTACAGTAGGTGTTATTTTAATAATTGCTTTTAATACACATAGATGTATT